TTGTCGAATGCGTAATATTTAGTAGTAACTTGTCAAGTTATACTTACTTTGTGAGTAAATGTATTGCTCGTAGTACCTTCAAACCATCCAATAAATGAGAAAGAACGGTATTATTAATAACTACGGTCTTTATAATATCTAGGTGCAAGTACTTCTTCAAGTACTTGTGCTTAGTAAATTATTTCCTAATCATCGGATGAATGTGTAAAGTACAGTGTTATTTTTTATTGCAAATAATTTATCAAGTTACGCTGCCTTTGACTGGAATGTTTTAATATTAAAATAAGCTATTTCACAAGTACTTATGTTTTGTACAGTACTTGCAGTTCCGGTATTATTAATAACTACGGTCTTTATAATATCTAGGTGCAAGTACTTCTTCAAGTACTTGTCTTAGTAAATTATATCCCAATCATCACGTGAACGTGTAAAGTATACAGTGTTATTATTTATTGCAAATAGTTTGTCAAGTTACGTTGCTTTTGACTGGGATGTTTCATAATTATAATAAGCTATTTCACAAGTACTTATGTTTTCTACAGTACTTGCAGTTACGGTATTATTAATAACTACGGTCTCTAAAATACCTACGAGCAAGTACTTCTTCGAGTACTTCTCCTTAGTTAATTATTTCCTAATCATCGGATGATCGTGTAAAGTATACAGCGTTATTGTTTATTGCAAATAATTTATCCAGTTACGCTGGTTTTGACTGGATTTTTTCATGATTATAATAAGCTATTTCACAAGTACTTATGTTTTCTACAGTACTTGCATTTACGGTATTATTAATAACCACGGTCTCCATAATACATAAGACCCAGTAGTTCTTCAAGTAAATATGCTTAGTAAATTATTTTCTAATTATTGGATGAACGTGTAAAGTATACAGTGTTATTATTTATTGCAATTAATTTGTCAAGTTACACTGCCTTTGACTGGAATGTTTCATGATTACAATAAGCCATTTCATATGTACTTATGTTTTCTACAGTACTTGCAGTTCTATAATCATTTAACAAATTCTTAAATGTATAGTTTTTACAAATACATGGCATTTTTTTTATAAACTTTCTACAGTATTCAATATATAAAAAAAATAACTAAGCACAAGTTACTTGAAGTTAGTTAGTAGAAGATTTCAATCTAAAATTGTACTATAAATTAATAATTTTAATATTTTTCAATAACTAATATAGAAATTATTGTAATAAATGTAAAGAAAGTGCGAAGTCATCTAACATATTGTTATTACTTATTTTTTTAATGACTATCATATTTGAATTTACATTGTTCTTATTATACTAAAACATTTATTTAATTTACTCAAACTGAGATACGTAAGGATTTATGGAAAAATTATCATGATAAGTTAAATGTTTTTAAATTCATATTTTTCAAGGTATGTTTTGAGCAAATATAAATATTAATTGCTAATAAATAGTGAAATAATAATTAATTTAAATTCCACTGTAATATTCTGATTAAGTTATCCTTCAGGCAAATTAAGTAAGGGCTATTATAATGTAATTTTGGGTAAACGACCAGTTACGCCCTTTCACATTAAAACCCTTGGTAAAAAAAAACTAAAAGAAATGTTAATCGAATTAGCTTTGATTTAATTTCAACTAAATGTCTTAAATTATTAGTTATTAAGAGGGTGGATTTCCTACTGCGAGGGATTGTTGTAATTCTATCCATTTAAATTTGATTATTATTATGATTAGGACGTTTAGAAGATGCTAAAGTAGATAGAGAAGAGCCGTTCTTGGAATGGCTTAATAAGTTGTCTGGATTTTGAAAAATAGTGTGATATACTTAATAGTCCTGGTGATAATTAATGTACTTATCATCCAGATGTGAAAAAGCTTTAAAGAAAAATAATATATAACTAGTATTAAAATCCTAGAACAACCCTGGAAAAAAAATCGAAAAACTTATGCTTTCATTTAGAGCCCTTCGCTTCACACCTTCTCTGGTGGCAATAAAGATCTCAGAAAAAAAATGGGTTGTCCCATCAAACGCAGCGCTTGAATATTTTAGCATTTCCTGAAGAGAATGCAAGTTAAGTATTGAATGTTTTCATGCAGAAGGCCGTAAATATTGGCTGATCGTTGACTAGTAATTATCGCGTATTTTATTCCGCGAACGGAAATGGAAGTCAATTGACACCTTCTCACTGGCAATAAAGATCTCAGAAAAAAATGGGCTGTCCCATCAAACATAGCGCTTGAATATCTTAGCATTTCCTGAAGAGAATCTATTTGCAAGTTAAGTCTTGAACGTTTCCATGCAGAAGGGCGTAAATATTCGCTGATCGTCGACTGCGCATTTTATTCCGCGAACGGAAATGGAAGTGAATTTATTAGGAAAACCGGTGCTCAAGGTTGAAATATAAATTCCCCGTACTTGAAATAATTAAAGACTTCAACGATAGTTTCTCTCCGCTCGGTCGATGAGAATGTCTTCTTTATGTGCACGAAAATAAAAAAAATAATAGTGAAGACCAAAAAAAAAGGACGAAAAAGGAGACGGCCGTTTTCAATTCCAAGATAAATATATACTTATAAGCTGAATGCGACGGTCGTCCCAGTGTTTTGACATCTGAAATAACTATTTTTCCACATGTTGAATGGAAATATGCGCTTTACGTTTATGGCCGATTTTTTTTATAAGCATTTCTCTGCATACAGATACACACAAACATATATAGTGGTCGGTTTCAGGAATTTCATGAGAAGAGCGGATTAAGTATAAAAATAAAATCCGCTTTACTGAAACTTCTTTTGACAACAGTATCCTATTTTCGTCTTGGGAATTAAAAAAAAAACGTAAAATAACTTGCCTTCTCTTTATATTTATATAAATATTCCGTAATTCGCTGTTTCCTGAATCTAGATTTATTCACGGCTGTTCTCGTCACGTTAATGGTTTCTCAGCGGATATTATTATAGCTTTAGCAATGTTTGAAAAGATCAAGTTCAATTAAAATTCTCTTTCAACAAACTATGTTTATTATTTTAATGATAATAATAATATATTTGCAAACAACAACTAATAATGGTTTAACCTTGGCTCGCTCAAGGTTCAAAACATTTGACTCCGTATCAAATCAAGGTGCTTAATTCGTTAATAAATTAATTAATTAAATTGAAATTACATTTCTAGAATTATCTGTATTTCTTAAAAAATTTATCTAATTCGTTACTTAAAAAATCAACATCAGTCTCAATTCTATTCATGTTTAAAAGTATTTGTGTTTAGTTAACGAAGAACTTTGCATTAGACTACTAAAACTATTCATTTTAGAACCTTTATTTGGTAGATTTATTAACGACTACAAGGTCATTTATCTTTGTAGCTGTACCTCGCATAGTCCGGGTTCCGTCAATATAACGAAACTGGTCTAATCGAGGAACTAAATATATTTTAATGACTATAAAGTATATATGAGCGAATTTTAGTAAATCTATTTTCATAAATATAACAATTTACAATTAATAATATAGAAAGAGTCATTAATTAACTAAAAGTAATCAATATGTGGTTAGCTAAATTATCAACCGGTTATTTAACAATCTAAAATCCAGGTATACAAGAAAAGGTACAATTAAATATTGAAATTTGAATCATTAATTGACAAGTTTATGAAAGGATTTTAATCTCTTGGTATGGTTCCAATTAAACGCAACGATTAAACGAAACTCCCCCAAAAAAAAACTTCTTAACTGCAGTAATTATGTACTGTTTAGTATTCACATGGCTTTTATTCATTTATAATTTTCACAGGAATTACACTCCGTATTGTTGTGACAAAAATAAAGTTTGTACTCTGAATTTGTTGGTAAATTATATTAAAATTACATTTACTAAATGGAGAAAGGTGTGATCGTAATATTTACTATTGTAAACTGAGAATTATATATTTATTAAGCCTACGTATATATATAGAAAAAAAAATGATGTGACACTCGTGGGTATGTTTATTTTTTTTCTTATGAAACTCCATTGTTCCCTTTTAACTTGCTTGTGGACATGTGGGACGTGGTGAAAAATATTACATTTCCGATGTAGTAAACCAAAATAACAATAATACAAGGGTCTGTAACCTTTTCAGAATGATACTTCGAACAAAATATATTGTATTTCATATATTAAATACAGAGGGTTTACGAACATAAAAGATGAAGTTTGTTAACCGATCATTGGTTTTAGAAGTGGTTTAAGCTTCATATCCCCAAAAATAACGTCAATCAGACGGTAAATTGTTCGTTTGTTCTCTGGACATAAGAATCTTTCAAGAAAGTGTTTGTTGTCCGACATGTTTGATCACTTACATCAATTAGTATAAATTGAAAGTTTTCAAATTAATAATTGGAACTAAATTTCATATCATTTTACTTATAAAAACTATGGAATTTGTTGAAATATAGTTCGTAGACGTAGTTTTATACTGTTATTTTGTTCTATTAATATATGTATTTTTCTCATGTTCTATAAAACCAATCCTTTTTCTGCCATGTCATGAAATAAATATATATTTGCAGTAAATAAAAATGCATTTCCTGTTAATGGGAAACTTGTAACAGCTTTCAGAAGATATACTGTATACATTTATAAGGAATCTTATGATCTTGATTTTATAATTCTGTTAAATCAAAAATTATATACGATCATCTACCTGTATTCATTTACAAAATTACTCGATAAAATAGAAATAATTGGTTAATCCAACTTGAGTTAAAACAAATTAGCTTCAATGTATATAAAAGATTTTATAGCTCCATAAAGAGAAGAAATCTATAGATAGTCTAATGACTGAAAATGTTTCCAGCTTTATATCCAAAATCACATCATAAAACTGCTTTCATTTAAATAATTGTCCATTCCCGTTCCCATTTTCTTCCAAACTCGCTCTGACTGTCTTTTATGGTCATGTGTCCCTTTATCCGAGCGACGATCACAGTACATAAACTAAAACAGGTGTATTTTGTTCTCAGTTTCAGAATTGTTTGGCAAGGGCTGTTTACGATAACGTTGCCGAAGCCCCCGACGAATTGACGTTCCGCAAGGGCGATGTTCTCGTCGTCCTGGAGCAGAACACTGCAAACATCGAAGGCTGGTGGCTGTGTGCCCTCAGAGGACGACAGGTAAACATTAAAGAATGACCATTTGGTTTGATTTCTTCTTTTTCTCTCTCTTTGCGACTCATTCTTTCTTCTGTCCTCGACAACTTGTCCAGATCGGAATCTTTATTTTCGTAAAATGTAAATGGATTAAATTGAGCATAAAGATCGTGGCGTTGCAAAACGTTTTTTTCTCTTTCGTTTTTTTTCTTTCGGAGACTTCGGCTTCCGACTAATTCGATTAGTACATGTCCGGGCACGCAAATTCGGGGATGCAGTCAACCTTACATTTATCATCAACTCGACTGGAAAAAAAATCAATAAAGTGAACAATCAAGCAGTGAACTAATTTGTAACATGTTCCTAAATAAGATTAAAGATTAAATCTACAAATTAAATCAATGTTCATAATCTAAACAGCCTAATTAAGGCAATGTATTTTAGAATTCAATGGGTGATTGGTTAATGCGAATGAAACTTAATCCGATTCTTAAATTGATATTCGATTAATGAACAACTCAAATTGTTCATTAATCAACAAATGATTTTGAATGCAATACATATACATTAATTGCCCAATGAATCTTAGAGAATGCAACAACTTAAATATTCTAATAAATGCTGAAACTAGATTAAAGATTACATTTAAAAAAATTATTTGCTTCTTGTAAATTGTTTAGTAAAATTCAATATAAAATGAAATATATATCAAAATGCAAATGTTATAAAGTTCAGAATAAATGTTCAATGCAACAAATTAAATCAACAAAATATTTCAAAAAGAAATTATTTGGGAAAATCTTATAGAAAAATTATATTTTAATGACAAAAAAAATATCTTGAATATTTCGTATCAATACTATTTTGTTGTTAGAATCACTTAATAGAGTGTTACGAATTGCAAAACGTGTTTCACTCACTTTGTTATTTGCCATACTATATTATTTGCGGTTACGTCATCTGCAGTTTAATTGAATGGGCACATGGCAACATGCTTATCGCAAAGTTTATTTTCATTACCGCCACACATTTTTTTTGTTCTTATATTTGCAATAAGATCACTTGAAAATACAAAAAAATAAACATTTAGATAATTGTATATGTTTCTTAAGAAAATCAATATAAAATGTAAGGTTTCTAAAATGAAACATAGGATTTTGTAGTTATTTGCTGTCACATGTGAATTATTTAAATTTTGAGCATAGAAAAAGCAATATGTACATTTGTAGCAATTCTTAACTGATTATGTCGTATATATTCGTCATGATCTATTGTATTGCGTAGCCATTATGACGAATATATTCGCATCATAAATAGTTAAGCCGTAATTATTTAAAAGAAATGTTTCAATACCAAAAACCTATTCAGTTAATCAATATAACAGTCTTATTTATGACATTTTAACTTATTTATTATAACTTATTAATTAGTTTAATTTGTACGTTATGAAACTATAGTTTATCTTGTATCAGATGAATCATCACTTCATTACGCTAATAAAATTAGGAATTTCCTATTGTCACCATAAAATTGCTAAATACAGGATCCTAATGATTATAATTTCATACACACTATTTGCAATTAAAAAAACTACCGGAAATACAATATCCTCTTTGCAAAATAATTTAATAAAAGACAAATTGATAGTTTCAAACTCTTATTATAATCATCAAAATGGGTTTAACAATATACCGAAAGGTTCAATGTACATCTTCATTTTGTATTATTTACATTCGTTTGTATGTTCAGTATTGTAAGTTACAAAAATTATCGTTACAAATACAAAAAACTATGTATAATATTTGCATAAACAGATTTGCAATTGTAGGAATACGTGTAGGAAATAATCAATAGTTTAACAATGGTATCTTGTCAGTTGTTATACTTATCTATCTAGAGTAGACATATCTAAATAGTTTCACTTATGATGACGTTTCGAACGATTTTGTATGTGTTAAACAATTTGTATAAGATTGATACATATGTTATAGGGTTATTGATATAAACTCATAAGTGTTTATATTACTTATAAAGCACACAATCTGTTAAACTATAAAATAACCAATAATTTTATAGAATATGTTATAAATAGTTTGTTCTATAATTTATCTAGATATTCCAATTAACAACGAGTGCAGAAAGTTTTTAATGAATATTATATGTATCATTATGTTTTTCGAACGTTTCACATCTTATAATAGTTAAGCAACGTTTGTCACGGAAAATACTTGTATAGGTTTGTTAATATTTTCTATAAACTTATTATTGTTTGGTTTTCTAATTGTATAACCAATAATTTTTTGTGGAATATACAATTGAGAATGCAAATAGATAGATTGAATTTAAAGTAATGATTTTATTAAATTAAGTCTAAACGTAATAGAAATTTTAATTAAATTATGAAATGAACTTGTCTGTACGTATGTTTTAACGGTATCGTGCAACAATTTTGAGTGAATTGCGGTGGGATTGCCACCTGCGTGTGAAGATTGCCAGTATTAATAAGAGCAGAAGAAAAAATATAAAAAACGAAGAACGAAGAGTAATGCGTTGATAAAATACGGTCGAGGAGGAAGGAGGATCGAAGACAAGGAATCTCGTTTAATTCCTTTTTGCTCAAAAAAACGCCGCTCCTCCGAAAACAATTTGAACCATGTGTACAAGCAAATTATATTTATTACAGCCGCATTTCATACGTGCACACCGTTCCCCCCTTTCTTACCTCCCTCCACCCTGTCATTTCATCCTTTCATATACAAATGCCACCGCTTCCAAGACATTTTTAAATTGGAAACGAACAAAGCAAATACCCAGGTAATTATTTCCACCGTCATTATGTCATTCGCGACCGGCGAAATCAGTGTCTTTTCTCGAAAGCGATGTTCACGTAAAAGTGCAATTATTATCATTATTCCTTGCGAACCAACCGCAATGAGACAAAGGGCCGCAAGGATGAACCTCCTTGAAATCGCAACAAATTGAATGCTATAAAATATACGCTCTACGCCGAAAAGTAAATTGCAACTACCTTCGTTTTTTCTTCTTTTGGGTAGAGATTGATGACCTCCGTTTGTTGCTGCTCTTTTTGCGAATGTCCCGCATGTATTTGGGCGAAGAGACGGTAGGGGTTAACGGTTCAATTTAGGCCCATACGGGTTCCCCATTTGTTGTGATAAATTTTTAAATTTTTACTCTGCGTACAAAATCAATGTTGTAAATCAATGTTTGTACTTCGAGGATGGTTGAGAATCTGATAAGTTGAGAATGCCATAAGGGGAAGACTATGCACATACTCAAATTGGATTATTTAAAGTAATTGGATAGGATCAGATATGATTAATTGTTATGTCATCTATAGCGTACGTCATGTTCTTATATTAATATATTAGAGGAGCGAAAGCTTTTGTGTGTTGCGCGTTTGAGATGGAGTTTGAGTTGAGGATAGGTATGGGACTATTTTGAAGGTAATTACGTAATAACAAAGCATGAAATAAGCTCTCTTCTTGGACGGATGCAAACAGAGTGCTTTCTATATACTGAGTATATAATATTTACACGATGAATCTCTACTTTAAAGATTCAGTATGGTCAATTATGCATGGAAGACGTTATTACAGCGAATAACGAGCTTCACATTTGTTTACTCTTAACTGATTTTTACTAGTACAAATAGCTTTAATCAATTTACTTTACATTTCAAATTATATCGCAAAAAATTTATTGAATTTATTCTTGATAATTATTCTAGTGGTGACTTCCTTTGAGTACTTAATGTTCACAAATTATGTAAGTTAAGGAAGTTATATTAACAATAGTATTTGGATGGATGTTCAATACTATTTGATAACTTGATATTAATGTAATGAAGATTAATTGTGTTACTCCATTCTAAAGTAACACAACTTAATTTATTTACAATTTGGAGAAACAAATATAATTGCTCTTATTTTTTATATTGAAACTCTTTATTAAAGTTGCATATAGTTACCTTAACACTAAGGAAAGAGGATAATCTCTCAAAAATTGAACAGTTGAAATATGAGAGGAATATGAGACATAAACATAGTTATAATGTTCACATGAGTTGGTACCAGTTTTATGATAAGTTATCATGTTAGTATTTTCGTAATTAGAATTATTAAATTTGAATGAAACTAATGTCAGCTTCGTGATGCTTCGCAACTCGTAATTTAAATTTAATTATGTAACAGCTGTAATTAGCGTAAAGTTCGTTTCAGTCTGCGGCATTTTCAGTAATTAATTAAATTATTGGCGGATGGATATAATTCTCCGTTGAACAGAAACTCGTGAAAAGCGTTATTATCAGCATATGCAAGAGGATGCTGCTAAAAAGGATGCATCATAGGAGATGAGTAGAGAAATGCGTGTCCACTAATTACTGTTGTTAACTAAACTAGCGCTAATTAAACTATAAAACTGGATGCGAGTACGACGTATGAAAATGTATGTTATTAAAAAGAAATATGTGTATACAAAGATAAAACAATAATAAACGGCGACGTTTTAAATGCGTTAATTGTTTCATTATGTTGTATATGAAACACACATTTTTTTTTATAGTTGACAATGGGTCGTGAATTTTAGTTGGAAATTATGATGGTTTTTTCAAGTTGTAAATTCAACGAAACAATGGATGCGAATGTTTAGTTTCAATTAATTGTTAAGAAACATTTGTGGAAATAGGTACATTTCACGAAAATAGCTGGAATGTAGTTTGATTTGAGAACCAGTTTTGAAGTATCATCCTATTTTTGTAACTGACTACAACTACTACTAGGTTGGTTTGCTTTTTCCATAAGTGGACGTTGTTAGGTGTGCGTATGTCTTGCTAAATCGAAACTCGATGCACAAGTGATCTGAGATGCATTAAATTCACCGATTTTTCATCTTAATATTACTCAAATTTCTCTTATTATTTAATTACACCGCTTTCACTTCCTGCTTACCCCTGGAATTGTCTTATAATCGTTCTGATAATAAACTGTTATTAAATCATTATTCAACATTTATTCTTAAATCTGAAGTAAGTAATTACTGTAATTATTGGTTTTATTGATTCGAACATAAATAATAATGAATTAATACATATTCAAGTATTTTCAAGTGATTTTTCATTCTTGTATTATATTTTTTGAAGTCAAATAGTTCTTTCAAGATAAAACAAATTATTAGGAAAATACTTTTCTCATTTATATTTAAATTCGCTTTTGGTTTTTGTTAGGTAGGGAAATAGTTTTTTTTTAATAAAATAAAATTATGCTCTTAAATTTTGTCAATTTTAAGCAATATGAACGTTAATAAACTAATTAGTAAAATTCTGAATTCATAATCAACTCAAAAATAGTTTTGACATTCATTTGTCCAAATGGAATCGAATTCAATATTATTGGTTGTCACCAATTCCTCGCTTTGACACAATGTGACAGCTGTCGACCCATATAAAATTTAACATGACAATTTTGGTGCGCGAGTCATAATTTTAAAAATGCTAATAAAGATATGCGTATTGCTAGAACTATAACGAATTACTAAGTACTATCCTTTAAACACGTTGCTTAACTTTTGTAATGTGTCAAATATTAAAAAATCTAAGAGTAAATTAAACTGCTGTTTAAAAGGTATACTACTTTTAACATTTATGGTAGATAATTAAACATTTAAGTTCACCCGTTATTATTTCCTGATTGTTTTTTTTTATTTACGGCTTCGCATTATTTCGTTTGGTACACTTAAGTGTTTATGGAAAATTATTAGCTTTGCTTATTATAGCTTAAAGTGCAATAAACCACATCGAAATATAAGATGCAATTAGCATAGAAGAGTTAATTTATGAACAAGGACACACTCGAGCCTTCGGGAGTTGAAAGCGAAAGTAATTGAACACGCGACGCCATAGAAACATAGAATTAGGCTAAAATCAACCAAGAAATATTTTCATTTGAACAAACAAACAAAAAGAAATTAGAAAGAAAATAATGATAGTATGATAGTAATGTTAGTTTTCCCGCCATTAAATAGTCTCCATATAACGCTACAACATAAGTGGAGGAAATAACAGCAATTTTCTAATCAATGAAAGGGCTATTCTATCTAATTAGTTAATCGATTAGTCCGATAAATCTGCTTGTTGATTTAATCGAAAGTTTTAAGTACTATTTTATGGTAAATTTATCACGATTTATATTCCGATCACGTAAAAATCACATCTAATTTCAGACAGTACACTTTAATATTTACTCAAATTTATTAATTTTTTGTCTTATCTACAAACAAGATAAGTGTTATGCAAATATGTAATCTTATCGATGTCAGTTCCATGTAAGCAGTATTTATAGGTTGTTGCGTTTGAAGTGAGTGCAAGGAGTTGCGTTTTGTTTTCTGATTTTTTTTTGAAGTGTAAGTTGTGTATATGTTGATTATATATAATTTGGATATTGTGTAAATTGATTTGTCGTGTAGCATTGTTTTCAAATTGTAAAGTTACTGCGTGATCACCTTTCTTGGAATATTATGTCTGGGGAAAAGCTTAAAAAGAAGTTTGTAGACCTGAAGCTATTGTAGTGTGTGTTGGGTGGTCGTAAAATAAAAAGCGGAGTAGTTTATTCTACCTTTAGTTTTAGTGTTTAGTTCTTAGCACATTAAAGACTGAACAACTAGAGAATGTATTGTTTTAATATATAATCTAGAAAGAATAACAAAAATATTGTCAGGGAAATAATCTATATACCTTTGATTATAGTATTTTTAATCTTGTAATCTGAAATTAACTGATAATAATATTACATTAGTTTAATAGTTCATGATCAGAAAACAATTGAAGATCAAGAAGGAAATAACGGTTAAAATATCGATTTTCTATTATATTTATTTATTAAAATTAAATGCTACTAACAATAAAACGCTGAAGAGGAATATTACTTAACCTTTACTAAGAAGTCGTGATATATCAGTTTTTTAACATTAACATTATTTCAAAGTTTCAATAAGATTCTGCGAGTAAAGTAGCATTATTTTTTAATAAAATTTTCTAATTCTGTCATAATTTAGTATCAAAAATAGTTTCTGTATTCTTCAGAATTTCGTTTTTTTTAAATTTAATTATATATTTCAAATGCGTCCAAAGTAGGAATATCTTAGCAGTCGGTTCCGCACTGTTTGAAACCGGACTAATCGAGGACTTTAAAACCGAATAAGAATAAACCGCACAAAAAGAGATGTAACTGTATAAAGTTACAATAATTTGATGTACTAGATTTATAGAATTTATTTTATTCAATTAAAATTTAATTTGTTTTGAAATTCAAATCAAATTTGACTATACAAACTGATAGTAGCCGGACTATGCAACATATTGATGTATTTTGTTCTTAATAATAATATTTATTGAAATAGTAAAATTACAAAATTAAAAACTCAATACAATAATATAAATATCATAAATCAAAAAAGTAAACTACTTCAAAGAGCTATTGACCATAGGTCTTTCTGCCCAATTTTGTTCTTTTAATTTCAAAAAAATTATTAAATTTCAAAGAAAACTATACAATTTCTAGTGAATTAAAGCTATTTTAAATGAGTTTGTAGAAATGTTGCACGTATAAAATGTAATATGATTCAAGAAACTGTTATCTATCGATGACAAATCCAAAAACCATAGTGACTATTCTGCAATTAAAGTTTTATCTTTACGTATTTGTTTAGAGGAAATTTTCTACTTCAATTGCGGAATGTTTATTGTTATAACGGCGTGACTAATACCAGTTACTAATTAATTTCCACCCGTTCAAATCTTAATGACTTACTCAGAAATATCTCATCAACTCAGCAACGACAATAAACATTTTGGAATAGAATTAATTAAATGTTCAATTAGGAAATATGCGAACTTTTGCAATTTTCTTATATATTAGCTAAAATATTGATCAAAATACGTTGCTTAACTTTTGTAAGATGTCAATAATAAAGACTTCGAATTACTACTAATTTCAACTTGATTTTCTTAGATAATTATACTATATTGTACTTATTTAGTATTGATTTACTTGTTTGAAATATAGTTAATAATTACAAAATATGTCATAATTCGATGTATAAAGAAAAACTGGTGTTAAAGTAGTCTTTCTGCAAAGGCCAAATAACCACTTTCTCCTCGACGCCCTTGTACTTTTCAGCATCCACGCAAACAACCTCTTTGACTCCAAAATCTGCAACATCCATTCATGAAACCAATCCCAGTTCCTCGACATTCAGTCCAAGCCTATTACAAAACTAATTACGCCAGATATTACAGTTTTAATCATAAACAAAAAAGAAGTCCACTTATTGTATAAATAATTACAGCACTTTCAAGAAAATAAATAATTAATCATATTATAAACGTCTCGCAAGAGAAGCATCTTCATATATCATATTAAAACGCATATCCTGCTTTCGGTTGTGAAAAAAAAAGGACACATAATGTTCAGATTATTCCTCTTTACTGCTGACTCAACTGAAAACACGTTTTAAGTATGTTTCATGTTTTTTTCTCCTACTTATTCGTTTCTCCGGTCGCCTTAAACGCATCCTGGATGGTTTCAATTTCGGAATTCAATCGATTCAAGCGGACATAAATTACAGAAAAAAAATTATATTTAACATCCACATTATCGGTGTCCAAGCTTGGAAATTTTGATTTATTTTTATCGCTTTTAATTGACACTCCTTTACACTTCATCAATCAACCCCTGCGCTTAAGTAATAATCTGGGAGTCAGAGTTTATCTGATTATTATATCTGGGGAGGAGAGAAGAAAATATATGTCCTTATAATCCAGTTCCCATAACCAGTTTTTTTGTTACCTTCTCTCTCTTTCGTACTGCGATATTAAGCAATAATAAAACGGATTTAATCCTTGAATTAACATATATCGATTCCCAACTTCTTTTTATCTTATTTGTCAAACACGGACGTATTTTATCGGAATCCAGTATATGTACACATTTTACGATAATGCCTGGACTCGCACGGTTTTTTTTTATTTTCTTCTTCTCGCTTTTTCAAATTCATTTTTTTATTTTTCTTCATTCGATCCTCGAGCAGTGCAAGAGCGGCAGTAAATTAAAGAAGCGCCGTTATGTAAATGCTAATCCCGCGGGAGGATTTCGTCATTTTGTGATTTATGACGACGCTCGTCGGTCCATGCAACTACTATGTGTTAATTCTTCTGTCTCGCAGGGTATCTGTCCTGGAAACCGTCTCCGATTAATCCCAGGAGTGTACGAAGACACGACTGGAAGCCGAGGTCCTTCACCACAGCTCAACGAGATCTCCGACATGAACAGCCTGCAGAGGCAAGGGAAAAGAAGAAGTTGGCACGTCCAGCCGAATAAGGCAAGTCTCAAAATGATTCATTCCGATGCTATTTTTATCTCCCCGTCAATACTAAATAAGCGAAAAACCAAACACAGTATTATTACTGAAGACTAAACACATACAAATATATATATATAATATATCAGCGTTTCTCAAGATTTGTTATCACGAAGAAAACTAAATATTTAAAATATATTTACTAAACAAATTGATAATAACTTTTACATATAAAAAAATACAAAACTAAATATTTACGTGCTTACATAATCATTTTATTCGCAAGCATTTGTAAATATGATAAAACATAACAAAGAAAATGATTGTATTCATCTTTTGATGTAGATTTATTGGTTGTTCAGAATTTTATTTCTGTTTTGACTCAAAGAAAAAATATTACTATTTTTAAGACGCAATAAAAAACGTGATCTATAGATTGAGAAACTCTGGTATTTATAGACTATATAAGTACAGACAATAAAAGAATATTTAGATCCTTAAGGGCTATTCGTTTTTATCATCAGCGGGAACCTTGATAAACTCTTTCTCTCTGTTTATGGTCACCAGTAAACGTTGAAAGGATAATTGAAACGAAGACAAGGCTTCTTCGTCCGCTGCGACCGCGATAAGAAATTAATGGCCGGTTTTTAATTAATTTTTAATCTCGGAGAAATTCCTTTAAGGGAATGCCAGAGAAGAGGAAATAAATGACGCTTTGTTCGGTTTCTTCAAGCGCATTTTCAGACGCAAAACTGAAGATATTTTCGAAATTCAATAATTACCTTCACTTTCTTTCTTTATATATATCATTATTCATTATTACGTATTTAGTTTCTGTACAATTAAAGGTAATTTAATACGGACCATCACTTTTTATCGACGTAGGAATTATCTTGTTGTGAAACTTTTAATTACGTTAATGCGAAAACCATTTACATAAATTTATATATAAAAACACGTTTTTATTTCTTACATAAAAAAACATATTTTTTTAAAGCATTACAAAAAAAATGTATTTATAAATTTCCAAAAACTAGCGAATATTTTATTATATTAAACAAAACCATACTAATCAAATATTTTGTTGAAACATAAGAGATGAAATTTAAAAAATACATTTGTAATTAAACCGTTTCATAATTAAATTTAATGATTGTCCTAAATTTCTCGAAAAAAAATTAATGTTTTAAAATATTAATTAATTACTTTAAAAATATTTTATATAATTCCTCCTTTTTTTTTCAATTTTTATTATAAATATATTAAATATGGTAATAATAAATTTGTTCCTGGATATTTTTAACTATCAAATTTTTAAATTATTATGTATTTAATTACTAGAATAGAAATTTGCAATTAAATTAAATTATATTTAATATTATTAATTAATTTATTGAAAATTCGTATCAAATCTCTAAAAATACTGTAGAATATAACCAGTTCTAAGAATTTTATTAAAAATCATTGATAATTAGGTCGTATCCTGTAGTTCTCTTGTATTTCTTCAATCTTGTAAGTGAGGCAAACTCCTTTCTCTTTATTCGTATAATGTACAGTAACATCTGGAAAAACACGGAGGAATATTTCAATTCTATTCTAAAATGTACAAAAATTAATAAGATTCATGTCAAATCTTTGACGTTCCCCATTTAATTAGAAACAATAATTGAATTACTACCTAAAAGAAATAAACTTTAAAAAAAGTTTAAATCTTCTCCTTCAAATTGTAATTTAAAAAACTAAAATTTTCCATTCAAAAAAGAAGTATTAATTATTTTTATTTATTTTTTTTGTATGAGACATGTCTTGGAATATCTTCCGAGGCATTAGCATTGTGTCGAAGAAAAAAGGGCGAAGAATGAGGGAAGAATATAACTCAATAATAGAAACGCCTTTTTATACACGTGATAAGATTGAGATAGGGAATGCCTTTATAATTCATCAAAGCTACCTCTAAATCTAACACCATCTGACAGCTTCGATAGAACGTATAGATTCCTGCAACGATTAGGATCTCAACTAGGATTTATTCATGCAGTAAATGCATGAACCGAAAAATAAAACTATGAGAAAATGAAAGAGATTGTATGTGTGAGAGAGAGAGGAGGAAACAGGAACATATATAATTGATTTTTAATCTCATCGCATTTCTCAAATGTATTCAATTACTTGAAGAAAAGCCTGTTATCATATTCTTTAATATATTTACTGAAGCTTCATTCTTTCGTTTTGTTATCAAGTAATTTTAATAATAAACAAAAGATTTTGTTGTTTACATTTTAATTATTATATAATCGATTTTTAACCTAGACATCAAATGTATTCAATTATACAAATTAAAGACATGTTATATACTTTAATTAACTACTAATAGATGAATGATTAAGTCACCCTACCCACGAGTTAGTGGGCGCAGGTTCAAATCCTGGTCAAGCCAGGCCCTTTATGAGCCCTAGCGGTGCTTGCAGCAATAGGGTCATCGTTCATCACAGATGGATAGTGAAATGAATGAGGTTCAGCATATGGACCTTCAGCCAAGTCGATGGACAATGAAAGTGTTAAGGATAGCAGCAGATTCATAGTCAAAAATTAAAAATCATCATAATGGTAACTATCCACCGGGAAAGATTACCTACCTAATGTCAACCGCGATCTTACTTAATGTTAACATTGATGAACAGATTGTGAATAAAATTACACGACATAAAAAAATATACTTTAACATATTTACTTATTGAAGTCTACTTAAAAAAGCAAATAGTAATCATTCAATAAACAAACAAGTATAAAAAAACCATGTTTATAATATAATTGCGTCAACAAATATTGAACCGCATAAATTTACTTTTCTAATCAGAAGATAATAGTGTATAAACAAACAGTGTTTTTTTAGATTTTTTTGAACAAATTTATTATCTTAATTTGGAAGTTAAACAACTTGTTTTCTGGATATTAATTGGATAGGTGATAAAAGTAGTAGCAACTTGAAACAAATGGAATATTGTTTTCTGTAAAGTGTAGTTTTAATTCATTAAAACTTATGGTCAATTACAAGAAAAAATCTCTTAACTTCTAATAGTTTTAGATATACTATTAAATTTATTATGTTTATATGAAATCAAACAATGTATTATTTCAATAGTAATTAAATAGGTGATAAAGGTAGACTTAAGCAAGTTGAAGCAACTTAATATTTTTTGTAAACTGTTCAATTCAGACTTTGGACGATAGTTAAATAAGAGAAATACAACTGATAGTTTCAGATTTACTATTAAATGTATTATATTTATACACAAGTAAAAAAACGAGCTTTGTGGATGGTATTTGGAGAGGTGATAAAGGTAGACTTAACTTGAGACAAATGGAATATTTATTGTAAACTGAAGTGTTAATGAATCAAAGAATTTGTTCTATTTTACTATTATGTTTATATGAAAGTTAAGCAACTTGCTTTGTGGAAAATAATGAAAAGAATAGATTTAACCAATTTGAGAAAAATATAATGTCATTTTTGTAGGACGTTGTGACAACGGTCGATAGTCGATTAACACGTAACAAAATAATATAATATTACATTAGTTATGTAATCTATTCTAATAAAATCGTTGAATTTAATTTAATGGAACAGGTCGACACAAATCAAACATATTGCGCATTTGAATTGTTATTGTTTGCATGATTTATATTGTTGCTATTGATGAGACAGAAGCATACAAATACGTGGAGAATGAATTGATCGATTCGCGTGACGTCTGCCGTAATTGAAAACCAATTTAAACGTTAATGGAATGTCCATGTGGTCCTTCGACGTATATTTCCGAAGGCATTTAATACGTGGACCCAGACGGAACGGGTAGGGTCGTTAATTTTTATTGAGCGTTAAAAGAATAATCTTCAATAAATTTGACTATCCTTTTGCGTGTCAAGAAAATCCGAGTTGAGAAGTATAAACCGAGAACAATGTTCTTATTGAAACAGTCCAATAACAACAAATACACAATGGAACTAGTTTATGTGCTACGCTTTATCTGAACGATAATTTTGCACTTTTGTTAACAAATTGAAATGACCTGGTTTGAAGATTGCAGTCATTGTTATACAATTTTTAGAAGATATAAAAAAACGCGTACAAAAAAAATTAATAACATAAAGAATGTATTCTTCAATTCCAAATTGTGTTTCAAATATTAAACCAAAAATAGTCCCAGAATTCGAAAAATTTAATTACATAATATTACTGAATATTTAATCCAATTTATTCATTATCGTAATTTTGTTACAAAAAAAACAGCAACTAATAAATGTAGACTTAGGAATTATCAATTTATAAAAGAGAACCAAATCTTTCAAACCAATAAGGATAGAACAGCTGTGATTTAAATTCTGGAAACTATATAAAGTTAGAGCTTATCGTTAGATTTCTAAGTATTTATTTACAAAGCCATTTGCAGCCCATTTTTGTCGTATGAAATACAGTTATTGGGTTCAATAAGTAACTGGAACATGGAAATACTTAAGCGATTCCAATCTGCAAACAATCACCTTATGCATTCTGGTATATATACAATAGTTTTAAATAATTATCAGAGGGGAAATCGTGTTAAGAATTGAAAAATAGTAGAAAATCTCGTAAAAACAAAATTGATGTGCCAAATACATTTTTCTTTACTTCTATTACAAACCTTTCGAAATACAACTTTCTTCTCGCTCTATTACTTCTATTAAAAACATTCCTTTTACAATGTTTATTGCTGAAAGTGGCCATTTTTCGATTACGTAATGTTGCTGATATCGGTATGATGATGTGTATAATTAGAAAAAAAATGTTAAGAATGCGTTTTGCTTGCATAAGATCCGTTAGAATTTGCAACTTGTTCATGTAAATAATCGCTTTAATCTAAATTATATATTCATGCATTAACATATATTACGTAATTGTACACAGTAATTTTCTTCTGTGTCTACAATTTTCTATCTGCATATGCCCTAAAATATATATGTTTCTTACATGGTATTAGGTTTTTGTAAGATAATTAGATGTGGTTAGTAATTAGTGGTTCTTCAACCATGACTTTTAAAACCATTTCATAGTTATTAAATTGTCTTAAATATTTTATAATTGACACGTTAAACTTGTCCGAACATCATCGGAGCATGAGTGTAGGAAAAAAGGGCTACCTATTCATGCGTAAGGTAACTGATTTATTTTATTGGAAAGTCATCGGCTCCGAACTTACAAGTATAAAATATAAAGAAAACAAAAAACATTCCAAGTTAAATAATACGTCTGTATAATAGTCACATGTCTTATTCAATATCATTTTGATGAAGGTGATTGACCTTTAATTAACAAGATTTGAATATAAAAGAAACAATAAGAAAAAATAATATAACAATTACATATATAATTAGAAACAATGAAACTTGACTAAATTAATGATTAATTTTAATGCAATTTTTTTGTTATATAATTAAACTCTTTAAATAGACTTTACAAAACTATAAACAATGATGTCAATTTTATAATTATTCATTCAATTTATTTTATAGAAACTTTAAATAAATATTTACTATTTAATTACATCATGTGGATGAAATATGTTCCATTCATAAAGTTGTTTATAAATTTAATTCATGTGTATAAAAAAATGCTAATTGTATGTCACTTAAGTAGAATAGAGTTTTAACAACGCACAACACATTTTAATTGAATGAAAGTAATGGAACATGTAGATATAAATCAAATGTTGAACATCTTATGCATTGAAATAAATTCTTAGTTAAAAAAACTGAATTTATTCTTTGAAGGAATTATCATTATTATATTAAACTTAAATGCAGTATTTTTTACCTCAGCAAACGAATTTTCGCCTACGGTAGAAATTTTGTGGAACGTATCGCATTTTGGAAACATTCAGCACAATTTAATTGAATTGAAAATGTTAGAATATCAAGTATCGATGAAAATAGAGAAATTACTAAATAGAACATTATACCTATGTTAAAGGACCGGTCAAAGTATAGCGTTTCCGCAAATTATATATATATATATATATTTATTGTGAGGTATTATAAAAATGATTTCATTATTTATTTTATAATTCATTAAGAACAAAGCGAGTTAATCACGTTTCTGCTTTAAATAAATATTTACTATTTAATAACGTCATTTTGTATAAATATTAGCAATTAATAAATGTAATCCGTTCTTTGTAAAAATACAAGGTTATTACAAGAAAATTCGCAATTACAGTATTTGGCTATACCATTACAATTCAATGACTTTTCCTGCACGCCGATTAGCGGAATCGTGTGCTTCGATTGTGTGGGCTTTAATAAAAGCGATGATTTCATGTAGTGATGAATGAAATTAGCTATTCCGAAAGTGCTGTTAAAATGAAATTCCTGCGATTCGTCCGTATGAATCACGCATCGTAGATTTAGGAAACGTTGTAGAATCGAGATTAAAGGACGTTTAGAAAAATACTTAGATGGTGTTGGAAGGTTGAGGACGTCATTCGTTCGCTTTAATGGTGACCATTAATATTCCATGTAGGTTGGCTCCTTTTTTGTGACATTTAATAGGGAATAACATGAATATCTGTATCAAATCTTCGTAATGCTCGGAGATTCGAGGAAAACGAAATCCCTTTGGTGAAATGTTTATGCGTCGTGTGGACCCACGTGCGTGGGCTTTAAGGTTTTTTTTTTTCGGAAATCGCTGAAAGATTAAACCCCTCGTTTCAGGCGTTTTATCGAAATGGATGCTGGATAAAGGGTCCTCCTGAGCCCTAACTTTACACGAATTGCCTTTGGCCTTAACACTTTACGAATATATTCATAGTTAGTGCAAACAACTTTACTTAAACGAGATTTCCCTAAAATCCCATAAGACGCTGTGTTATAGTATCAATTTAATTATAATATTAGATAACTAAACTACAATGTGCTCTTTGCTTTAATTATACATCTAATCCATTAAAGCATATGAGTCATCTTGTTGATATAAATTTTGATCAATTAGTTATTTCTGAGAAAAATTTAATTTGCTTTAAACAAAATATGTAATCTCCATAGAGCAATTAAGTTGACACCTCTTGTAATTACGGTTCTGACTAAGCCGCAAAGTATTTGTGAGGATGCTACAATACCCGAAGGATCTTCTCTTCCACTATAATTGTTTTCTATATTTAAGAACGTATAAAAATAGTACAGAGTAAACATCAGGTTATATTTAGAACTTAATGAACTAAATATACTGCAACTGCTATTACCTCTTAAGGCAATTTTATTATACGTACATTCCTATACATAAAATAACAGCAGGTTTAGTGCTATTAGTAATAGCCTATATCGTATCAATTCATATATAATTTTAATGATGCTGTAATATGCATATAAGTTGCAAAATTAAAACATCAAATTATAAAATTTATAAATGAAGTTTTCATATTTATTAAAAAGTTTTTGTTCTATTTCACCAACGTCTAAAGAACTAAAATACACTAATGCTATTTCTAAACTGGATCATAATAAGATTAACCTAATTAACTTGAAAGAAAAGCCGGTAAGGAAATCCGTTCTTCATTATATATTAAAATGGTTCCTTTATAACCAAACAAGCGTACGTTTTTTTTTCCTGAGAACGGCACAAAAAAATAACTTAAGGAAGAGAACGGATCAGGAAAAAAAAAGGAATAAAACAAAAATAAAGTAGTTCCCGTTAGTTGCTTCTTTCTTTTTCTACCTTAAGTGTTCCTTAAAATGGCTTTAAAGAGTGATATTGAGTGATATGTTTTAAGTGTACAACACTTAAACACGAATGTAAACAGTTAATCAAGTTTGGGATTCAATTCTTTGAAGGAGAAGAATTTATATATAAAAAAAATATAAAAAAGGAAAAAGAATGAAATTCCAAGTTGAAGGACCTTTTTATTGCCGCTTTATTCATACCAGGAGGAATTTAAGTACACGCAATTTTCCAGAAAGAAAAAAGATTAATGTTAGTATGGACTTGATCTCCGATTTGGGATGGTTATAGGAATGCTGCGCTCCGTTCCATTCCACTCGTGCTTATTTGGTAAACGTATTGATAATTTGCGTGCATCTAAATTATTCATTTTATTCGTTTCATACAAGATTTATTGCTTTTATGGCATTTATTATTAGAAAATTTAATTTTTATTAATTATTCATTTTTGTGTAATTACATTGTATATAATTTTAATGAGAATTCGCGGAAATATTGTCGTAAAATGTAGAATATATTATTTCTGAGAAATGTAATTAGTTAGTAATTTTAATGAGATTTAATTGGATTGGATGAGATCTGCAAATAAATCATTTAATTAAATGTGACTGTTTTTTTTGTTGGTGGTTGTAAATTGAATTTGATAAAATGTGGAATGATATTAATGAATGTATTTTTAGAGTGCGTATAAATGGCGATTTGAATCTGGTGGAAAGGCAGCCGGCAAATTCATTTAATTACACTGCAATGTCTGTTTCGTATTTACTTTGGTGCGATAAGGAGATGAAAAAGTACATAAAGAATTAAAGTGTCTCGTGGTATAAAGAGGATGACGTTGGCCTTCTGTCCAGACGATGTGATGTGTGGATGGATGCAAATACGTGCTCTCTCTCCGCCATCCTCCTATATGGTGGTTGGTATAATATCACGATCAAAACAAATTCGTGATATAATAAAGAATGCTTGCTTGGTATATAAATGTGTTTGATATATATGTATATATATTATGTATTACACGGGTAGCGGGGTGGTTCGGGGCCGAAGGAGGGTTGAATCGATACGAAGGTTGCCATGGTTACGATCCTGGCTGGATCCTGAGGGTTGTCTGACGCCCTCGCGGGCAGACACTCACACACACCCTTCGGGCTGCTGCGATTAAATGTCTAGACTTCAAAGATCTCTTGAAAAGTTAAAAAGAGCAAGAGTCAGTTCGTACGAAAGTGAGCTTTATGAAGTTATCGTGCCACGAGTAGAATAAACATAATTATTCCGTCCATGATATCTATCTATAAATACAAATGTATGTACGTATATATATATAACTGCATCTTAAAGAGCAGCGAGTGCGCAACAGATAAAATCTAGTGTGAGTGCGTTGTAAATTATTACATTGGATGGAACGCGAAGACAAAAGGCGCCAGACTAATAAGAAACCGAAGGCTCTGAACTATATTTGGTCATGAAGTTCTTGAACCAAAAAATTGCCCCGATACATGAACGCTCTTGCGCGTAATTATTGCGACGCCTATGGAAGTTATTGATTCTCGTTTTCCCCGGTAACTCGCGCGAAACAAAACCTCTCCATTGTGCTTGGCTAAACCCGAGGTTAATAAGCCATTTGACTTGCAGATTATTAGGTAAAAACACAACGATAAATTCATGTTTTCTTTTTCTACTTTTGCAGGTTTTAACGCCGAGGAAAATAAACGACGTGTATTTATACGATATGCCACCGATGAGGTGCTCTCCCATCCCGGTGTCCAACCTCAGCCCCAGCCAAAGCTCAGAGCTATACGATGTGCCACCAAGGGCGGTTCCCGTGAACTACGAGACCAGATCGAACTGCCCGAGATGCTCTCCGGCTCCATCTTGCATCTCGCCAATCAGCAAGGACTCCCAGGACAGTTACGACATTCCTCGGCCGCTCTTGCACTCTCAGAACCTCTTGACGCCGTCGAGTTCCGCGAGTTCGCTGTCTCTAACTGGTGAATCCTTCAGCTCCTCGAATAGAAGCAGTCTCATCAACATGCCAGATTACGATATACCTAGATCACACCAGAAGGGACCTCAGTTGGTCCTCCACAACACTCAAATATACGACGTGCCACCGGCGCAGAGCCAAATCAAAGAATTACCCTTAGAGCTAAGCTCGGCTCTGGAAACACTAGAGAGACTCCAGACTGAAACCACGACGGTAACATCGAAACTTCTGGGATTCGTCACGCCCAAATGGAGGACTTATGAAAAGCTCGAACAGAACATCATGGAAATTAAATTGGTGGTGATCAGATTGAAAACTTCTCTGCACGATTTTGCCGAGTTCTGCGAGGGAGCACTTGGTAACGCTACAAGAGCAACCGACAAAAATCTAGCAGGGAAGCTAGTGAATTTAGTCATGGCTTTGAAAAACTCGGATAAACTTATACACGACGCAACCGAAAAGCTGCAGCTACAAAACTGGTCCCTGGATTTCCTCGCCAAACCTGTAGAAGACGAGCATTACAAACTGGACGAGTTGGAGCAAGTGATCGCTTGCGCCAAAGCTTTAACCGAAGACATAAGACAAGCTGCTTCCTTCATCCAAGGCAACAGCACTCTGCTTTTTAAGAAGGACACTTCACCCCCAACCAACAACAACGAAACTGGAGAAGACTACGACTATGTCAATTTAGAATCTAAGGAGGCGAACGCCAGAAGCAACACGGAAATCAGAAACGCGCTTCCAAAGGAGCTTCAGAAGAATTTCGACTGTCTCTTGAAGAACGCAAACGACGCCGCCATAGATAACGCAATCTTGGATCCGGACGATAAACATGTGCTGACTTTCTTCGCCGCTCAAGCCGCCACACATCACAATAACTTGACGCAAGCCATCGACGCTTTCCTCCAGACGGTTGAACACAATCAGCCGCCCAAGATATTCTTGGCCCATGGTAAATTTGTTGTCTTGAGTGCCCATAAACTGGTCTACATCGGCGACACGGTTCATAGGAATGTCAACAAAATGGAGATCAAGATGAGGGCTTTGGGTTGTGCAAATGCCCTCAACGAAGCTTTGGCTACCAGCGTGACGAAGACTAAACAAGCTGCTCTTCAATTCCCAAGTGTAACAGCAGTTCAAGAGATGGTCGATTCCGTTGTGGACATCTCGCATTTAGCCAGGGATATGAAATTGTGCTTAGTCCAAGCTGCCCAGCCATGATTTTCCACTTATTTCTTCTTTAAATATGGTTGTGAATAGCTCAAAAATTTTAATAATTTTGGCAATATATTTAATAGGCTAAAAAATATAATGAAAGGTAGTTCCTTAATTTGATAACATACATAATATTATATAAGAAAACAATTACACACGAAACTTATTATCTCTCGTTACGGTAGAACTTTTAATAAAAACGAAATATCAATGTTCTCAATGTCTATCTAAGCATAAGAAAAGTATCCCCTCCTTTATCCAGATTGTTTTTATTTTTTATTTTATTTTTTTATATATATAATATATTATAACTATTGTTTTTACTTCCTTCCAGATCCTTTATTTACTTAATAAGAACCTTTAATTGCTGTGTATATATTACATTTTTATATAGATTGTATATTAAGTTTGTATAATACAAAAATACAAGAGTGCGCGAGAAGAAAACACACATTCGAATCGCTGCAAACATTTCGAACTGATTTATATATTGAATTGAATAATTTATCATTTGTAATTTTATCAAATACAAAATGAAAGTCGTATTTAAATTATTTGTCCATATTTATTTCATCACCGAATCCTATGCATTTCAATATTCATCTAATAAACATTTACATTTAAAATATATTATAAATCAAATTACACACATTAATAAATGATATATTTGGATACATTGTAGTTGTATTCAATAAAGAAAATAATAAATAATTAGAAATTCGTAATCTATGTAGAAATCATTTCATTTTATGAAACTAAATTATATTTTGCAAATTTTATAAATTACGTTATATCAATTATTTAAATTATTCACACGGTTGTTTTCTATTTAAATAATTTAATAAATTAAATTAAACAATATACAACATTTAGAAAGATAAAATTAATAACTTTAACTTACCTTGCTTATTTATTACAGGCAACCAAGTATACAGTAAATCATATTTGTATATTTTTCATTACATAATTTCTTTAACTCTTTCCAAGCATTAACATGCAATTTTAAATGAGTATAGTTCCTGTATTTATCTATCAAAGGTATCTTATTCTATTAACAATGACTTGTATTATTGAATATTTGAAAATTCAAAATGGTTCAGCGTCCCCAATATAAGAATAACAAATTTTCCTAGACATAAGATGGCCGTCTAAGCATGCTTTTTGACATTTCTTGAAATATACCAGAATATTGGTGTGGAGTGAAAATCTGAGGTGAGGAAAACATTATATTTCCATCAAGGGAACCGAGCAAAATAGTCTTCAGTGCTTGCAAAATGACGTTGTTCCTTGCATAAGTCAAAGTACATAAGAACTAAAATGGCGTACATGTTGTGATAACACACTGCCAAAGTTTACAATTTTCATTTTCCTAATTAACACAGCCAACTCGAGGCTGCCGCGAATATGAAAGACTTTTTGCTCGCACTTGCATCGATTATTGCATCGTTTCTTTTAGTACTATTTTTAACTTCGCTTGGTAATATACATAAACAATAATTGCAAATAAATTCAAACAGATTGTTCATAACACTAATGTTTCTTTCTTGTTTTAGGCTGGTACATTATTTGGAAGTTATTCCTGTCAAAGTTTATACTAGTCAGAGGGCTCTTGGGATACCAAGACGAAGAATCATCAGGTGAAGAGAATAGAAGTCCACGAAGCAGAGTTAAAAGAACCAGACGTGATTAGCATAAATTAATCCAAAATGAATATCCGTTGCGCAAGACCTGAAGACCTTATGAACATGCAGCACTGCAACTTGCTTTGCTTACCAGAAAATTATCAAATGAAGTATTATTTCTACCATGGCTTAAGCTGGCCTCAGCTAAGCTATGTCGCTGAGGACGAGAAAGGAAACATAGTTGGTTATGTTTTGGCCAAAATGGAAGAGGATACTGAGGAGATGAAGCATGGTCACATAACATCACTAGCTGTTAAACGATCTCACCGTAGGTTAGGTTTGGCACAGAAACTGATGAATCAAGCATCAGAGGCCATGGTAGAGTGCTTTGACGCGAAGTATGTTTCTTTGCATGTTAGGAAAAGTAATCGGGCTGCTTTAAATTTATACAAAAACTCTCTCAAATTTGAAACTGTTGAAATCGAACCAAAATACTATGCTGATGGCGAAGACGCCTACTCCATGAAAC